AAAGCTGTTAGCCTTAAGTGCCACAATACCAACTCCTGCCGATCAAAGACACGTTTGCTTTAGTTACATGGTTGATATCAGTGCAAGCTGAAGTCAGTTCTAGAACAGAGTCCTACTTACTACTCATTAAACTTGGTACTGGATGGAGAATTCCAAAAAACCCAGCCCAAAAAACCCAGCACCTTCCTCCAGATCTGTGAGTTGACTTACAAATCAGTGGATCTTTTTAAGTTTGTCCTTCCTGCGACCAATTCTAGACATGACTTACTGCTTAACCTTAACTTGATTGAAAAGCCGGCACTTGACACGTGCCCAACAGAGAACTCTGTTAACAGAATAGTCTTCTACTCAGCAAAAGGATTGTACTGAAGTTTCCCACAAAACCTGAAGACAGTTTTATCGCTGAGCAAGCCATAAATCAAAGTACAAGGTAAGGAGGTGGTTTGAAAATCTATTACCAGGCAATATTCCAGTAGTTGATGTTTACCTTAAAAGAAATCTTAAATTGAAAGCTGTCATTGAATTAGAACAGACATCACAAAGGCAAGTATCTCAAACTTTGATGAGGATTCAACTATATCTCCTAAAAACAAGTGTTCTTCTAGATCCAGTAATAACAGTACTGAAAGTTGAACAAGATGTTATCAAACTAGGGGTGAACTGTTAAAATTTTTCCCATTGATAACATACTTAGTTTACAATGATAGCTTGTATTTACACAGCGTTTCTAACATAGTAAAACGTGGCAAGGTCCTTCACAGAAGTGAACAGCCAAAAGTTTAGATGAAGAGAGTTGGAGACAACAAGAACTGCAAATGCTGGAAGCCAGAGTCTATAGGTTTGAAGCTGGAAAAGCACAGCAGGTCAGACAGCATTACAGGAGCAGTAAAGTCAACGTTTCGGGCCGAAACCCTCATACCTATATACTTTAGATGAAGAGATATGCTTTAAGGACACCTTAAAATGAAGCAAGAGTTAAAGAGCAGAAAGGCTTAAGGACAGAATTCCAGAGCTGAGAGTCTCTGCAGCTGATAGCACAGCCACCAGTGGTGTAAAGACTTGATTCAGAAATGTTTAACAGGACAGAATTGGAGCAGTGAAGATATTGCAGAAGATGTGACATGGGAGGAGAATACAGAGACTTTTCTTTTCGCTTTTCTTGGGATGTCAGTGTTGCTGACAAGCATTTATTGCCCATCAGTGTTTGCCCTTGAATTGATTAAATACTTCAAGGGGTACTTAAGAGTCAACCATGTTGTTATGGGTCTGCAGTCACGTGTGCCAGACTGTATACAGATGGCAAATTTCCTTTCCTTCAAAGGCTTTAATGAACCAGATGGGTGTTTATAATTCGTGAATCCTTAGTCACCATGATAGGATGGAAAAGGGCCCAGAATGATTCGAGGGTAAAGAAGGATAAGGTTCTAAAATTACGATGCTTAACAAAAACATATACTATACTGACCATTAACCAAGCAGTTGATCAGGAACTGAACAGCCCATTACACAGTTCTTTGTATAAATGAACATGCAAGGCGGAAGAGGTATGATTATCCAACAGGTGGATAATGCATTCCCCTGCCAGCCGCTTTGACAGTGAGGGAGGGAGGGAGGGGGGGAGTGGGGGAAGATACATCAAATCCAGGAAGTGACTTACGTGTCACTTACCTATCCATGCCTGTCCCCATTGTAATTTTATCAGCAGCAGGAATGGTATTGAGCAGTTTGTTTGCAAGGGGAAAATTGAGGCCTTTTGGTTGTCAATTAATGCCTACTTAACAGCCTTGTCCCACCACTGGCAGAATTTAATAGGTGCTAGGGAGACCTATGCCTACCTTCCAGCCACGCAGTTTTGCCTGTGATGGCTGTTGACAGGCGTGGGAGCTCTTCTTCCCATCTCTTCAAAATCCAGCGCTCACCAACCTCTCTGTCGGGATGCATTAAACACTTACAAAGTCACAATCCAGTGTGCCTCACATTTTCAAGTTGTGTGTAAAACTGAAATTGGTTGCTATTCTCGGTAGCACTGCCAGGACTGGAGAGCTCTGGCCACTGATTGGCCAGCAGCTTTTCCAGATGGAACTTCTTATTCCTGAGAAGCAAAAGACCCATCTCCAGTCTATTAATGGTCAATTATTAATGGCAGGAGCTCCCTCCATATTTTTAATATGGGGGGGGGGGGATGTTGGTGGAGGGCAGACCATATCATGGCGTAAGGTTATAAGCAGAACACAAATAGCTCAAAGAAAAACATCCCCAGTTACATTCCCAGACAAATATGCGAAAATAACCTTTTTAAATATACAAGTGAGACAGACCACTTTGACTTTCCATAAATATTGTGATCCATGTTACAATCTTTGGACCTAGAAGAATTTCATAATAGAGAAATATTTAAGTGTTAGAATTGAAGGATGGTTTACAAGCACTTACTATGTTGGGATGTACACCTGTTTCAATTTGCTCTCTGCCTCAGCAGCCTTAAGACGTTTCTAAAAATAAACAAAATAAAATTATAGGACAAAATCATCCTAACAGCATTTCTTGTGCTACTTAACTTTCTGTTAAGTTACTTTATTTTTCACCATATGGCCACATGAATGCTGTATAACTTTATTTGGAATCACAATGAAATTAACCACTGCTTGCACTTTATTCCATGTTTGAACAACAAAATCAGACTTTACTTCCACAGAACCCCATAAACATTAACAAAAGTTCATTTAAAAGTTATCTGCTTGTAAGTAATAGGTGCCACTCACCAAGGCTGTTTCAATAGCACTCTCTAAACCTGCAATTAATACCACTCAGAAAAACAAGTGCATCAGTGGGTAGGAATATCAGCACCTGAAGTTTCCTCTACAAGTCACATCCCACCCTGATTTGGGAATATCTAGCTAACCCTTCCCGTCATTGGGTCATAATCCTGAAACACTCTACCTTACCACAACTAAAGGTGGACCTGCACCACAGAGACTGCAGGGATCCAAAAAGCCAGCTCACCATCACCTTGTCACGATTAGTCAACAGGCAATATATATGTTAGGCCTATCAAAAAAGCCCAAGTCTCTCAAATTTTTTTTTAAAAACGTGGTCATTTGTTACGACAGGCTGCAATAGTGCTGATTCACTGCACAAAACATTTTAAAAGAAAAACAATTCCAGTGAATACTGACAAACTGTCTGCATCATCTGTCTATTTCCAATGCAGTCCTCTGAACAAAATGTCTTGGACGCTTCAGATACAAAATAATGGACTAGGACCAGTTTACATTTTGTTTATGCCTTTTCCTACCATCACAAAAGTGGAATTTAGCAGGCAATAAAAGAATGATTTCACAAATATGTGGATGTCTACTCTAAGTGCATATTATGAAATCATGGGTTGATTTTTCCAAAGATTCTCTTCATTATAATGAGTCGGAGCATGATATGGGTCCTAAACCCGCACCACCGAAGCTCTCACATATCAACAAGGCAACTCTATGCCATGATGTGTAGAGCTCTTGAACATTATGAGTCAGAATAATTAGAAATATTTCATTTGGAAGTAATAAGCAATGACTTTTTGAACTTGAGCTGCCTTAAAATAAAACAAATAGCGACATCACAACCACTATTTTCCTCAACAATCTATACACAAATATGGATTCCACAGATGTATTATTTTGCAAGGATGAAATTGTTACAATTGTAATCGTAACTTTTTCTGGTCAGTGGCATAAACTTTTCATACCATTTTTTTAATAAGTGTATAATTATAATTTCCTCTTGGACATTTTGAATTTGCATTCACCAGTTTCATTTGATATAACACAGTCTCACTGTTGTTGGATAACAAAAACTATCACATATTTCAACAAATACGCAATTTTGAAATATACAAACAATTTAAGAATAATCACAAATGCAAGTAATGTTCTCACCTGTTGCACATATCTATCTGTTGTTTTCCACATGTAATAGTACTCTATGATGCTAGTGAGTGATTTCCACGGTAGCTATCAAAAATTGATAAACACACAGTGATAAACCAGGTAACACTCATTATGGTCAAACAGCTTCAAAACATTTTTAAAACATTTGTTTTGTAGTTTAAAAAGAACTTTTAAAGATCAATACATGGTTCATTCTTTGCATATTTAAATAACAAAACATGCATGTCGTCAAATGTGAGAAATGAAACACAGTAAAATTTGACATGCAAGGAGTTTAAAAAAAATTAAAATGCACACAACATATAGCACACCAGCATCCATAAATTCATGATAAAGGTGCACGACCTTCTTTGGAGAAAATGTTGGAGAATATGTAATGGTGTCATTAGGACAACAACGAATGAACATGTGGAGAACGACAGCATGAAGATCATGCAAGAATCTACAATTAGAAAAGGATAGAATAGCCAAGGATGAAAAAGGTAAGCGGACAGAAGTTAACGTAACAAATGATGCTGGTCATGATATGACAAGTAGCCTCTTTGCTAAACTGAATTGCTTGGTCTCAGACATGGAAGATAGGTGCATCAGTGAAGCACAATAATGCATTTGAGGACTTTTCAGAGTAATAGAAGATACTAGAGAAGGCAGTAATGAGAAAGGATGAAAGGATTCAAGATGGGTATTTTGGGAAAGATGACAATAAGCCATGTTGTGCAAGAGCTGCAAGCAAAATCACAAGATAGATACAAAAGTAATGTCAGCAAGAAAGGAAGTTGGATGAAAAGTTGAGCAAAAAGATCAGGTAGTGGCTGCAAGATGAATTTGATAAAGCCAGAAGATTAAAAAAATGGAGTCCAAATTAGATAGGCTGAAACTTTGAAAGAAAGGAAAAGATATGGGAACAGAATTGAATAGGTAAAGTGATAGCACATGTGCTTTTCTTTTGTGTTCAGCATGGAATCCATAGGTTGCTCACATTTAGACTACGAAGGAAGGATGCAGGGAAAAAATACTGGCATAAAGAGTTTTTAAAAAGGTATTGGAACATAGGGCTGTTTCCATTCTTCTACAGTAACTTTGGAATAGTTGGCAAAATGTTGTCATTGAGAAGGAATGGTCCTGAATCTTGACGTTCAAGCAAGATGAGGTTAGAAACCATGCTGACTAGAAATTTACCACATTTCAAAAGACAAAGTTGCCGTTAAGGATAGAGGAAACAAACAAGTAAATTTTGTTTCGTAAAATATTGAGAACGAAACCTTAGAAGGTAAAGACAAACGACAAACTGATCAGCAAAGCTGTTCGTGAAACGGAAGATGACGACAGATGAAATAAAAGGGATTCTAAATTTCACAGGGTTAAACCGTAATTCATCAAAAGAATCAAAGGAAAATGATGAAGTCTTGATCTTTCACGAACATGTATCCAAGAAACAAGTCATACAGCATTCTAATCAGGAACAGAAATTTATGATCAGTTAAAAAAAAGGGGATTCATACTTGAATACAACATTTTAGGAAGGATATGTTCCCATGGAGGGTGTGTAACATTTACCAGGATCTCTAGAATTAAAAGGTGAGACTACGCAAAATACAATTATGTTCCCAAACTTTTATAAAATTGAGAGTTAAATGAGTGTAAGTCTCAAAGGTATTAATGGAAACAGTTCTCTCTATCCACTGTGACTATGTACACAGGTTGGAGAGCCAGGTACTAGGCTAGCATAATCAAAAATTTAGGACCAGACTTTCCAGGAGCGAGATTAGCAAACAGTTCTATACAGATTGTGGAAGTTTAGAACTTCTCTAAAAATGACAATTGATGCTAGTTCAATTGTGAATTTTAGATTTAAGGTTAATCAATTTTTTGTACATGAGTTATTCAACAATATGGGGTAAAGAGGAGAATGCAGTGATTTCTAAATAGCAGACATGCTGATCTATAGAACTTTTGCAGCTCAGAGTTGAAACCTTTATATAATTAAAACAAGTTGAATGAAAAGTTGACTTACTTAAGAATCCCAATTCTACAGTACTGCCCAAACTCTCTCAATACATTGACAATCTGTATAATTAAAGTTCGGATGTGCTTACAAAGTCTTGTCGTATGTCATTAAAATCCTTGCCATACTTTTCCAATGCCTCTTCAAAAAGGCTAGCTTCAGATGCTGACCATTCTTCCATCTCATCTCTGCAGAGAACAGGACCACCCTGAGGTACCAAGATGCTGATTGCATTTGTCAAATCATAGTTGTGCTTGTGCAACGTATCCATTGCATGGAACTAATGGAAGTAAACAAAATGTTTAAGTATATATTATAATTGCTGCAAAAGGAAGTTCACGATTCATATTAGAATCATTGTGTCAAAATTAAGATTAGACCATAAGACTATGAGAAATAGGAACAGGCGGAGGCCATCCAGCCCCTCGAGGGAGTCTGATGCCCAGTCAGGAGCAAGGCAGGGAGATGCCCTGCAGCTAGAGCACAGCAAGTCATAGAATCCCTATAGTGTGGAAACACGCCCTTCGGCCCAACCAGTCCACACCGACCCTCGGAGCATCCCATCCCCTATAACCCACCTAAGCTACACATCCTTGAACATTATGGGCAATTTAGCATGGCAATCCACCTAGCCTGCACATTTTTGAACTGTGGGAGGAAACCGGAGCACCCAGAGGAAACCCACGCAGACACAGAGAGAATGTGCAAACTCCACACAGACAGTCGCCCAAGGGTGGAACCCAGGTCCCTGGCGCTGTGAGGCAGCACTGCTAATCACTGAGCCACCATGCCATCCTACACCTGATTATTGCTTTCCACTTCTTAAAAGCGGCTTTCTTTTTGCATCACCACAGGTGAAGTTTAAATGACTCATAGCTGATTAAAAGTCTGATATGTGGTTAAGGCTCTTTGTTCTGTGCTGAAGGAATTTAGCACAATTTAGGCTCAAGTCAGATATCCACATTCAAGAACAAATTTTCAAAAAGTTTCAATCATTTGAGACAGACACAGACTTTCAAACAGAAGTTCACAGAGACATCTGAAATACATGAAAGACAACAATGTTGACCAGAAACAAAAACAGAAATTACTCGCAAAATTCAGCAGGCCTTGCAGCATCTGTGGGGAGAAGGCAGAATTAATGTTTTGAGTCCGGTGACTCTTTAACAGAACTGATGAGTTTTGATCAATTTTAAACCTGGTGAGTTTCGCCAACAATTTCCGTTTTTGTTTCAGATCTTGAGCATCTACAGTTCTTTGTTTTATAACAATGTTGACCAGTTTATTTACATCACTTATGAAATATTTAATTTTCCACTCGAATCGACAAAAGTCGATTCTATAATAAAATGTACATATTAACTTGACCTTTGAAAATTATATGAACAGTATCGTAGCCAAGTTAATTTTAACCTAAACTTGAGAAACAGAACCTCACTGTTCTATTTAATACTGTGCAGCTACTTGATCGTATCTTGACTCAGTCAATTTCAAATAATAATTATAGCTTCTATTTCTTCTTTGGGACAGTAGGTGAGATCGATGGTTATGTTGTTGTTTCCAGAGATGAGGTAATGAAACTGTTTGATGTTCAAGGTGGAAACTCAAGGTTGAATACCAATGGTGGACTGATCAGCACGATGGTGCCATTGCTTTAGGTCTTCTAACAGACTGCTGGGTCACTGGAGTGTGCTTCATTTTCCAGTTTATCCATACTTCCTTTGCTATCTACTCTCCCTCAATTACTCATATGCCAGTGTTTCCTAAATGTCTTCCCTCTGTGACTCCATTTTAAAAATTGGTGTGGCCCCTCAGCAAGGTATGTTATAACCAGACGTCATAGCTTCACAACAGCTATTACTGCCTCAGAGCATGCAACCGCAAAATTTCAGCTCGTGACATCGCTTGACATCTTGATTCCACTTTACAAAGTCCTGCCGTGCACTGCAAGTGTCAAATACATGCACTTGATAGCCTTCTTTCTCTCATCATATCTCTTTTTGTCTTCTGCTAAAAGACAGATAATAGCTGTTAAACGATTAATGAATGATCTGAGGATATAATGGGAGAATAGCTAGGATTGGGAAGACAGGAGGAATATTTTTCAGTCAATCAATTCTTCATCGAAGAGAAACCTTGTATCTGTATTCCTAATCCACTTGAAAGGATCCAGTTAACAATACCACTTCATCATTTCACCATCTCTGGTTCTTCTAATACTTTTCCTATGGATGTTCTTGTTTCTTTTCCCTTCTTTTGCTGTTTTTTTGCCTAAAGATTGTTAATCTGTAACATCTACCCTTGGAGGAGGGTAGATGTTACAGATTACAAAGCATCAACTAAGGCTTTCTGCTTTTCCACAGATGCTTTTTTGGGTATTTAGAGTTTCTTTTTTAAAAACTATTTTTGTTTTCCGACAACTTGATTGGTTATCAAAACACTGACCAAAATAAAATCTGTCTAACTTTGGCTTTTGCGAAAAGTACATAATGCATATTAAGACCACGGTTTTGCACAAGCTATTTTAATTCAATGTTAGGTGAAAAAAGTGAATTCATTAGAAAATGTAATTCGAAAGCCACGTACAAAAGTCGATTCTATAATAAAATGTACAGATTAACTTGACCTTTGAAAATTATATGAACGGTATCGTAGCTAAGTTAATTTTTTTGGAAGAAAGAATGTGAGATAAATTTTATGCTACTTAAATTGTAGATAGTCAGTCAATACCTTAAAGAACAGTCCTCTGACAAAAGATACAAGGGAGAGCAGAAATTGGTTTCTATTTGAAGAAACCAATTTGTTCTTTTCCCTTCTTCCTAATCAATTATAAAAAGTCATGAGAAGTAAGTGTCACACCCTTTCAAAGCACCCCAATAATAATGAATTCATAATGAACAAAAATAAACAATTTTAGCTTAGTTCAATGTGATAGTAAGTGAATAACACAATACCTTTAGGAGTTATTTTATAGATAATACTATAGATAGTTAGCACATTTTTGAAATGTGTTCACTGCAACACTAGGACAATAACACTGTCCAATGGCGTCTGATATATTCAAAGCCGAAAGAGCAGATGAGGTCGCGGTTTGGTATCTATCCCAAAAATGGCATCTCTGGCAGTATAGAACTGAAGTGGGAGCGTGCATTTTAGATTCAATTTTCTGAAATGGGGCTTAAACCCGTAACCTTTTGACTCAGGATGAGTGTGCTACACCATGCTAAATAGAGACCCAGTCCTCTTTACACACAACCAGATTCAAGTCATGCAAGCGATCAGAGAAGAGCTAGCACAGCATTCACCACAAGCTGGAAGTGCTTATGCCTTGTATAATTTTGACGTATACTACTGATTCAGAACTCCCCTTTCCATGCTAGCAAGAGCCCCAATAAAATCAAATGATGGAATCGGTCACATCATTAAGACACTGGGATGTTTTTAAATATATGATACCAAAAGAGGCAAGGAAGGAGATTGCTGGTGCCTTGACAGAGATCTTTGTAACCTCTTTATTCATAGGCAAGGTCAAAGAAGACTGGAGAACAGCCAATGTTGTTCTGTTGTTTAAGGATAACAGGGATAATCCAGGAAATTATAGATCAATCAGCCTTACATAAGTGGTAGGGAAATTCTTAGGGAAGGTTCTTAGGGACAGGATTTGCTCATATTTGGAGAAGAATAGACTTATTAGGGATAGTCAGCATGGATTTATGTCAGGACGTCTAATCTCACAAACCTGATTGAGTTTTTTGAGTAAGCAACAAAGATGATTGATGGGTATAGGGCAAAGAATGTTGTCTAAATGGACTTTATTGAAGCATTTGACAACGTCCCTCCATTGTAGGCTGCTCCAAAAGGTTAGGTCACATAGCCTCCATGGTGAGTTGGCAAGTTGGATACAAAATTGGCTTGGTCATAAAGGTTAGAGGATAGTTGTGGACAACTTTCTGACTGAAGTTGATGAGAGGCATTGATACAGTGGATAGCCAGAGACTTTTTCCCAGGGCGCAAATGACTGTTATGAGGGGGCATAATTTTAAGGTAATTGGAGAAAGGTATAGGGGAGATGTCAGAGGTAGGTGGGCATGTGGAACACGCTACCGGCAGTGGTAGTGGAGTCAGATACTTTAGAAACTTTTAAGTGACTCTTGGATAGGCACATGGATGATAGTATAATGTAGGGTATGTAGGGTAGTTCGATCTTAGTAGGTCGGCATAACATCGTGGGCCAAAGGGCCTGTACTGTGCTGTACTGTTCTATGAAGGTATGTGACCAGTGGTGTTCCTTAAGGATCAGTGCTGGGACCTCTGTCGTTTGTAATATATATAATTTGGATGAAAATGTAGGTGGTCTGATTAGTAACTTTGCAGACGACACAGAAGTCGGTGCAGTTGTGGATAGTGACAAAGGTTATCAAAGGATATAGTAAGATATCTTTGTTCTGTGCTGTAGATCTGACTCTGATACAGGCCATCTGGAAAGTTGGGCAGAGAAATGGCAGATGAAGTTTAATGCAGACAAGTGGGAGGTGATGGTATGTTGGGAGGTGAAATGCAAGAGGAAAGTATACAATAAATAGCAGGACACTTACGAGCATTGATATATAGAAGAATCTTGGGATTCAAGTCCATAGCTCCCCAAAAGTGGCAACACAAGTGGATAAGGTGGGAAGAAAAGTATGCTTGACTTCATCAGTCAGAGCACTGAACATAAAAGTTAGCAAGACATGTTGTATCTGTACAAAACTTTAGTTGGCCACATTTCGAGTACTGTTTGCGGTTCTGGTCAACACACTAAAGGATGGATGTGTAGGCTTCGGAGAGGGTGCGAACGCGGCTTACCAGAGTGTTGCCTGGATTGAACTGAATGAGGGGAGATTGGACAAATTTGGATCGTTTTCACTAGAGCATTGTAGGCTGAAGGTGACCTGGTAGAACTAGATAAAACTATGAGAGTCATGGTTAGGGTGGATATTTGGAGTTTCTTTCACAGAGTGGAAATGTCAAATACAAGGGGGCATAGGTTTAAGGCAAGAGTGGGAAAGTTTAAAAATGTGAGAGAAAAGTCTTTTTTTATTTACACAGGTGATAGGTGCCTGATATTCATGACTAGGGGAAGTGATAGAAGCAGAGACCTCAGCAATGTTTAAGAGGCACGTAGAGACACATGAACAGGCAGGGAATCGAGGGATACGGACCATGTGCATGAAGATGGGATTAGTTTAGAATGACATCATGGTCAGCACAGATATTGTGGGTGTAAGGGCCTGTCCCTGT